CATCTTCTGAACACATGGCACCTTCTATTTCATCGCTACAGTTCTAGTCTTGTAGAACATAATCTGGAAACATATACCTTGAAAGCAAATGAGTAATGAGTTTATTGTTAGGTATCTTCTTCTAATTATTTAAATTCTTTGTTTTTTTCTCCCGTAGGATCAATACTGGGCACCTCCAAACTTCAAGAGGATATTGTCTGCAAAGCTGAAGCATTTGGCTGCAGCTGGGAAACTCATTAAGGTGTCCTTAACGCGCATGCTGAAAACCTTATTGTTTCCGTTTCTTGCCTTAACTTTTACTTTCATTTGCTGATTTATTTTCTTGAATCCTTAAAATTGCTTGCCTTTTACAGATTAAACGCAAGTATAAAATAGCTTCAGCTTCCGCGTTATCCGAGAGAAGGAATCCTTCCGATCCCATGGAAGGGAGAAAGAGAATATCTCCAAGAATTGACCGTGACGACATAAGTCAACTCATGAAATCTCAGATTGATTTAGAGTTAGCAAAGATGAGGAGTATGACTCCTCAAGAAGCTGCTGCTGCTGCAGCTCAAGCCGTGGCTGAAGCTGAAGCTGCAATGGCTGAAGCTGAAGAGGCAGCTCGGGAGGCTGAGGCAGCCGAAGCTGATGCTGAAGCAGCACAGGCTTTCGCAGAGGCAGCATTAAAAACGCTTAAAGGAAGAAGCGCTACTAGGATGGTGAGATATTTATGGTACTTTTTTTTATTGCCAGAAAAATAATGTCTATTGTTTGCTTTTAGTTTCGATAACTCCATTTAGGGTAAGAAATCACTCTCAAAATTTGCTATATTAGACAAGTTTGTCGAACATGGAAGATACAAAATGTTCAGGAAGGGATTTATTCAGTTATTTTCTCATATATTTGCCTTAGAAAGTTCTATGTCAATTATCTTTTATTGGTAATTGGCTTAAGTGAGAGTTTTGCGTATCTCCAGATTCCTCATCTTAAAGAAAAGCAAGGCTAAGACGGAAATTGAACCTTTTTTTTTTTTTTAAATGATGCAATGAAGATTAAATTCCCTAATCGTTTGACAGCGGGGGGCATGGCCCCGACAGTTATTAAAAAAGCTAGTATTTTATACAGAGATTTGTTATTTATCGGAGTGTTATAATATTGTATATTTTTAATTCATATCGGTTTTGTTCCACTTGAAAGGCCTATATTGAACTAATACTCGTTCATGATGGGGTTGTTTTTAACAGAATGTACAGATGGTTCACACGTGACGGAGTTTGCTAAAACGACTAGCCACTTTGTATTTTTTCTGTGATCGAAGCTCATTTGTCTGTATGTCTTCTATAGTCTTGCTTTACAAAATGTAAATAGAATAAGACGATGTTTAGCTTAATATATGTGGGGTGGGGTGGGGTGGGGTGGGGTGGGGGGTGTGTGCACAGCAAGTCGAGGCATTCGTGCAATGGCCATTTTTTTTATAGATGTATTTTAGCCTTTAGTGTAGAGACCGTTCGTTGCTTGTTTGCTGAAAGGTTCTTGTAAGAAATCGAACAAATCTGGCAAAGGAAATTGCTGGAACGAAAAGTCGGGAGATAAAGAGAACATTCAGTACTCGATCAAGTGAAGGCAAGTATTGTGTGTCGGTCGAAATTGTTGTAACAAGTCTTTTTATTGGGAATAATGTTAGGAGCCAGATTCCGTTTTTGTAATGTACGAGCAGTTATAAGTTAATTACTTGAATTGTCTTTTTAGTTTTATTATGATCTAATCGGTTGTATAAGTCGGAACGATGATTATGAACGTTTTCGACGAGGCTCCAAAATCTTATATATTTTTTTCCATATATATATTGAATCTGCACTAGTTGATTTATTTATTAGATGTTCAATCATTTAATGAAGGATATATTTTTACTGGAGTAATTAGCAGGATTAAACACTGACTCGGCCGTTAGAGTGTTAACTCCGGTTTATTTTTTTCTTCTTATCTTGCAAATCTTATTTAAACAGATATAAATCACAAAAGTAAACTAAGGATTTCACCTGATCAAAATATATAAACCAAAATCATGAGTGTATATAAATTATTGATTGCCAGCTACTGATGAATTAACCTTATTTATTTTGTATACTTTTAAATGTAATTGACGAGTGTGACAAATTTCGAATTTGCATGAAAAATTGCAACATTTCATCATTGGGGTGCAAAACGGATTTACTGCTTTACCTAGGGGCATTTTTACAATTTCACATTTTATGTGGGTAGAAATGAAATTTCGATAAACTTAAAAAGGAAACGATTTTACAATTTACAGACGAATGTCGATTGAAAAGACGGGGAGAGCACAATCGTCATCACATCATCCCGGGAAAGCAAGAATAACAGACCCCGTGTTCTGATGTTCATCTTCTCCTTTTGATTTCCCGGTAATTATTACTGATTCAGTGTTCTTTCCTTTTTTTTTTTTTTTTTTTAAATATATCCGTTAGTTTATTGCCGGATTGGGTGGGTTTCGAATTATCTGACGAAATCCATTTCCAATTGTATATAAATTCGAAGTATTGGTTAAAATTGTTTACGCCCAGTATAGAATCGTGGTGGGCTGTGATTAAATTGCAATCTCTGTTGTATTTCTTCCTAAAACTGTAGTTTACTACGCAGGTGTGGTTTGCTTGTTTAGATTATTACAGTTCTGATGTGCTGAAGATTTGAATGTTTTTTTTTCAGCAATGGATCAGGGTTTTACTGGCAACGAATCGTTAATTGTTCGTGTTCAACAATTGGAGCAAGGTATGATTTCGTAAAGCTCAAGTGTTCGTTTCGAACATTTTTCGTGCCCTAAGAAAATATTAGTTTTGTTTGTATGATTTACAAGTGTAATCCAGCTGGAGAGGATTGATTACTGTGCTAGGAAATAAACGACGGTTCCTTTGTGCAGTCGGATGTTTATATGCTACTACTCGAGTTTACAAGTCGAGATTTGCTCATTTAGTTTTTCTTCTTCTTCTGCAGAACGTAATGAATTGTACAAAGATATCGAACAGTTGTGTATGCAACAAGCAGGACCCGCCTATCTTGGAATTGCAACTCGAATGCATTTTCAGAGGTGCGGGCAAATGTTAAATGATTTAGT